AATTTTCAAAGTCGATATTTTGACCCCAAACTTTGGCAAAATGTTTCCTATAATTTTCTCCAGTTTTCCACAAAGTTTCAGCCAGATTGGAACACTCTCCGAGTTTTCGCGGAGTTTTTTTTCCTTTTTTGCCGACTCCCTGAATAACCCCATTATGGGTCCAAGGGTCCAACACTTGGGTCCAAGGCAACGGGTCAAAAAACGCGCCCCAAATAACTTTTAGGCCAGAAGATTTTCTAGAAGAAATTTAATAATTTCAAATTTGACGTGGATTTGGACTATTTATTTTTAGTAAACGAGTTGCAACGCGTGACTTTTTCGCCCAACGTTTAAAAGTTTGATCCTCAGCCAAATAATTCAGCAGCGAATTTTTTCTTAAATCTCACGTTTACTGGGGCGCGATTTCTGCTTGGACCCAAGTGTGCTGGTACAAAACCCGTTGCTTGGACCCAAGTGTGCTGGTACAAAAAAGTCGGAGTCGTGGAAGAGAAATGCTGGTGGCCGTGGGTAAAGGTTCCATAAAGATAACTACCGTAGCCTCAAAATATTTTTTTTCAATTCTTTAACAATCAAAAAGTTTAATTTTTCGACTATTTTGATACCCAACAATCGAAAATTCAACGAAAAACAGTGACAAACGAAAAAATAAATTCTGAAAATAACACAATTTTCAGGTTACTGTAGTTGTCGTTATGGGACCTTCGGCCACCAGCGTGTCTCTCCCACATAAGCTGCAGCTCCAAGTTTTAAAAACAGTTTAATAGTTAATCCAAGTTTTAGACAGAATTCAAAGATTAAAAAACTCACAGGTGTTTGGATGAGCATCGCCCTCTGATCTCTCATTGTCCTTACAATATCCAATGGATAAACAGGTTCATTGGATTCGACAAGACAAGCAGCAGTCTCCATCAAAATCAACACTCCCGTCCTTCCAATTCCCGCTGAACAATGCACGACAATCGGATCCACGGATCCTTGACGCGCTTTTCGAACTTCGTCAACAAACTGAATAAAGTGTTTTGTATCATCTGGAACACCATGATCTGGCCAGGCAATGTACTGCATTTGCGTCACTCTTCTCTCTTCATTTGTCTTAAAAATTTAAAGAATTTTTGGTCAATTTCAAAATTAATTAATATTTAACTTACACTCCTATCTCGAACACTGAACTCTCGATAGCAACAATTTGGTGTCTGTTTATCTCTTATACACCTGATCATCAATCTACCGTACTCCTGTGTCTCATTCAATCTTGGCCAATACTGATGGCATTTCACTCTTCCTCGTTCCGTGATTGTAGTCAACATGACAATAGTCGTACATAATTGCTCCCAAACCATCAACCAAAAGTCTCCAGATGTATGAAGGAGTGGTCCTTGGCAGGCAATATATCGATTGATGATTCCAGAAGATGGAATTTCCATCTGAAATCGTTTTTATTGATTCCGAAACTTATATTTAAAAAACTTACATTCACAAAATTAGCATTGATATAATCTCCAGATCCAGATGTTTGAAGTATCACTCGAGTATCATCATAAGGACAAACATCTCGGTATCTGGAAATATAAATTAATTTTATTTAAATGTTTCTCATTGAATAGAATTCAACTCACCGATTTTTGCTTGCATTTGCGTTCAGTCTGCAGATATTCATTGTCAATCCAGGCTTTTTCCTATACAACATTTCGAACTGATCAACCACTTTTCCAGTTGTCAATGCATCACTCAATAATTGAAGTGACTGTGATAACTTATCAGATCTTGGCACTGAATCAGCAACTCTCGCTGGCTCCGGAACCATTTGACTGTCTGGCTCGTCGATTTCTTCACCCAATCGATACACTGGAAAGGAATGTGGTCGTGGGAATGGTGTCATCTCGAACTGGGTCATTTTTGAATTGGGGGAAAGATATGTTTATATAAGAGAAAGCTTCTGATAAAGTGAAACGAGAAGCAATATGATTCCTCAGTTATCAAAAAAATGAATGGGAGTAGTAGCTATGTAGGGAGAGAGGCAAAAATGAATCATATGCGTTCTAAACACGTCAATGACTCAACACTGAGGAAAATGATATTGCTATGTGAAAAGGATGAGTCATCGTATCACTAGGGAGACAAGTAGGTCCTCAAACAAGGCTGATTTCTCTTGTAGGTCAAAATATCGATTTTCAAATGAATCAAATATGGAGAATTTCATATTTACAATTTGGGTAAAAGAATTCCCTCTTTTGAAAATACCGTAAACACTCGAATAGAAGACGGTCCGTAACACTCGAATAGAAGACGGTCCTTTACATGACTTTTGAGCCCACATATCTCATTTCTCGTGAAAGATATCAAAACATGGTCAACTAACAAAATGTTTATCGTAATATCAAAAACAATTTATCAGTTGATCACTTTTTTATATTTTCTACAGGAACCGAGATATGGGTCAAAGTTTATGGATTAAGTGGCCTTCTATTAGAGGAAACACGGTATCTTTCCTCCTACTTGATCAACTCACCATTTGGCCGAATAGTCAAATGAAGCTCTCCTCCATTGGCTCCAGCTCTCGCGGACCTTATGAACTGAACAACATGATCATGAGACATTGTTGAAACATCTCGTCCATCAATAAATAACACTTGATCTCCTTCATTCAACCGTGGCTGACATTTATCTGCTGAACTGTTCGGTGCTACTCGCGACACAATCACTGGATAGTTTTGATCGGCACCTCCTTTTACATTGAATCCGAATCTTCCGTGTCTATCTGGCCGCATCTTTATCGTTACTACTTGATCTTCCCCTACTGGACTGCTTGACTGAAAATATAAGAGTTTATTGGCGGCAATTCAAAACAAGGAAAGCTCACTTTATTGCTTTGGGGAGATTTTCTGGATCTTGGGGGACTTCCACCGATTCCTGCTGATGCGAAGGATGAATAGCTGGCGACAGAGTTACGAGGACTAGAAGTGTTATATGATTGATTTGTGGGTGGAAGACCTCCTCGAGCAGATTTGGCAACTGCAATTCCAGATGACCGGGATATCGTTCCATCTGAAAGAAAATCAAAATTTAGTTTGGAAAATCACATGTGGATCGCGCAGAACACTATATGGGCGCATTGTGACCCATACTGTGAATGCGCGCATATAGCGTTCGTTATGCCCTCTATATGGGCTGGTGGTTGCTGGTGGGCGGTGGTGGGCGTCGAGTAAGCAGGGAAAGCATATGCCCAGTCCGTGCTCGCATATAGGTTCCATATTCCCTCAACATTCTAATCGAGTGCAAACCAAACTGTAAACTTCGATCCCATATATATCATTTCCTGTAAAAGATATCAGAAAATGATCAACTGACAAAATGTTTATTATAATATCAAAAACATTCTGTCAGTTAACAACTTTTTGATATCTTTCACAGGAACCCAGATAAATTAGCTCAAAGTTGAAAGTTAAAGGGGAAGGGGTGGATCATTCTATATTGTGTCTTCACGGAAACCTGATGGCATTTACAGAACATGTAAATGCTTTTTGCAGAAATAATAGCTTGAAACTCTTTTCTTGATATTCTCAGGATAAAATTTTTGGTTCCCTAAGAATTGTATTTATGACTGTTGACTATCGAAAAATAGTGTTATCGGGGAAAAGTAGTTAACCAAGACAGATGATCGGAAAACTTATACAGCTGCTGGATTTTAGGCTTGGAATTCCATTAAACTTGTTGGGAATTTTGTCTTTGAAAAGTTCAACATTTTCTGCAGGCTGTGTTGCGACGTTTACTCCAAAAAAACCTGTCAAAATCCGAATTTTATGTTACCATAAAATGCCCTTATGCTCTGTCTGCTTATTTTACATCACAATATTCTATATTTCCACATAAATCGGATTTTTTTGCCCATTTAATTTGGTAATTCCGCTGAAATAGTACACAACGACGCTCCGATATACCGCATCCCGCGTTGTTTACCGTAAATCTACACTCAGATTTTCGATGAATTTGCAGATATTTTTGCCTATTTTTATTCGATTTTCTTTGATTTTTTACGATTTCGCAGGTTTTTTTTACAAATTTTTCACTTGCGAACTCATTTTCATCGCTTCTAGCCGTTTTTCTCAGGTTTCTACACATAAATTCCTGAAGAAATAATTATTTTAGGCCCACCGATGGATTCCAACGCCTCGCATGTCTACCTAAAGCTAAAAACCAGAAGTTTTCTGCGGATAGCTACAGGTAAGAAACATGCATGACATTCAGTTTCTCACTGACTTCATTTTTCAGAAGCGGAGCTCAGAATTCGGTGACAACTAAACCCTTCACCGTCTCCACTGGCCACACGACAAGTGAAAGAAACAGCACCGACAGAATAACGAAAAGGTTAGCGAATTTTGTGTTTGAAACGCTCGAAAATAATTCGATAAAAGAACACCTGCGAAATTGTTTTGACTGAACTTGCAAAGAGCATTCTACTCTTGTTTCTATGACTCCAGTTCTTCGGAGCTTTCGAAACATGATGAAAAACGTGCCAACACGAAATTCAGCTCTCTCAATAAATCATGTATACGAATTTGCAAAAGCAGCTTCGTTTTCTAAGTAATAGGCTTGACAAATTTTCGCTGTGAATAAGTAAAACTATCGAAAATTTTCAAAATATATTCAGTTTTTCAGAAAAAAAACAACCAAGAGCAACTTCTCGATTGGACTTTCGTCTAATGGATATAAAGAGGGAGAAATGCGACGAAAATATCGAGTCCAAGGAGCCAGGAGACAAAAATGTTAATTTTTTATTTTTATGTTCTTTTCACTTCATTTTTTTGTCATTTTTATTAATTTTCAATAAATTTTTACTGGTAAACACTATTTTCAGTTCACAGAGAATATTAGGACCTGGGGGAGGGGAGGAATTGCTGGGCGGCGGCGTGGATCTTATATGCTTTAGTCGGCGCGTGGATCCTATATGCTCGCACGATGCGCCCCTATATGTTTCGTATTGCGAGCATATACGGCACCGCGCGATCCCATATAACGTTCCTCGCGATCCACCTGTGATACTGGAAATTGAATTTTTTGTGAAATTTTCGGGATACTAGTTTTTCAGGGTTTGATCTCAAATAGATACCTAATTTCACAAATCTTTTCCAATCGTGTCAAAATATTTTGAAACACCGTAAACACTCTAATAGAACGCCATCTCTAAAATTCAACTTGGAGCCCGTATATCTCGGTTCCTGTGAAAGGTATCAAAAAGTGGTCAACTGACAAAACATTTTTGATACTCTGATAAACATTTTGTTTGCTGACAACTTTTTGATATTTTTCACATGAACAGAGATATGTGAGCTCATAGTTGATGATTTGAGGCGCGTTCCTCGGTTCATGGTAGCTACAGATTTGGATCTTTAACGGTTTGGAAAATCAACAATTTGGAAAATTGAGAACTCACTCATATAGGGAGAGTAGTTAGTATTTGTCGTACTCGTTGGTTGTTGTGTTTGTGTCGAATTGGCATATCCATAAGCTGAATATCCACTTGTCGCTTTTCGAGATGCTCCATTCGGTGTTCCTGTCGTCGAAGGTCGTATCGAAGCGGTTGCATGAATTCCTGGTGATGTTGAGGTGCATGCCTGTAATTGTATAGTTCGTTTGTGGGATTTCGATGTTTCCAGTTTCTATCTCTTTATCCCCATTAGTGTTTCAAAATGATGTGGGGGCGAGGAAAGGAGCGAGAAGAGAGCGAGCACATGCTCTCGAATCTGTGTTTGTAAGGGGAAGGAAAGAGAGAGAGAGAGAATCGTCACTGTGAGCAGTCGCGCAAGACGTTTTTTTTCTCTCTCAAGAAAATAGAGAGACAACACACTGAAGAGACAACTAATTGACACATTTTTTCGGATTGAACATTATTGATTTATGATAAGGGAAGGAATTTTTAGAGGGATGGAATTTGGCACGTCCCAAAATTTTAATACGGTAAACACTCTAATAGAAGGGCCCCTAACTTTGGGTAAGTTTTTCTCAGTTCCTGTCGAAGATATGAAAAAGTTGTCAATTGATAAATTGCCTATCATAATATCAGAAGTGTTTTGTCAGTTGGCGTATTTTTGATATCTTTCATAGGAGCTGAGATAAAATGGCTCAAACTTGGGGCCCTTCTATTACAGGTTTTACGGTATGCTTTTCTTTACGAAGAAGAGTTATACTCCGAATGTTCAGATTATTCAAAACCACTGTTTCTTGTAATAATTGTTCTGGGATTCAAGACCAATAGCCGGAGAATAATTCAAAATGTTTTGATTGAAAAAAATCGTTAGGTTGATTAGATTGCAATATAAACTGTTTTCTAGAATTGAGTTTTCCAAACTGTACCTGTTTATTGAATCGCTTTATTGTCTCAGCGATATCAATTTTGCCTGGTGCGGCATTGACGCGAAAGGATACGGAATTACCGATGGGCATTCACCCTTTACGGATTTCAGAAATCAGCTTAAGAGGTCGATGATGATGATGGATCGGCAGGGAAGAGAGAAATGTCAAGAAGAAGAGAACTCTTTTCTCTTTTTTTTTTCTCTACACAATTAGTACAGGTGAGAGGTGTAGAGAGATTCAGAGGTAAGAGAGAAAGAAATGGATTTCTGGTAGAGTAGAAAAAAGAGCTCTTCCTTTTTCTCTCTGTCTTTCTCTCTGGGGTTAGAGAACTGTGTGTGTATGCTCAACCGACAGTACCTTCTTTCCCTCCCGATCTGTTGCTGCTCTATTCTCTCGATTCTCTAATCTCTACATGAAACGCAGAGATTTGCAGCATGGCGCCGCCGAAACCGGACGGAACTCCCGAAGCTTCAGGCGGAAGAATCGGAAAAGAGAGAGAGAGAGAGAGAGAGAGAGAGAGAGAGAGAGAAAAAGAGAGCTTCAACAGGCAATACAGTAAGTGGGGTGCCTTGTGCTTGTTTTTCATGATTTATTTCTGTTCGAGAGTGTGAAAAAGAGCAGATAAGTCGACTGTATATCTTCTGAAATTGAATCCTGTCTTTTTTGAAATTAATTTCGAAATATATCCAATGAAATATGTTATGAGATACTTTCTGTGAAATGGTCAGTTTTTGATTCCGAGTTTTCGGGCCTAAATATACCGCATTTCCTCTAATAGACCACCCGAACTAACATCTTTGAGCTCAATTATCTAGTTTTCTGAAAAAAATATCAAAAACTAGCCGTTTTATTAGATTGTTTACGGTATACATTATCAAGGTAAGATTTAATATATAAGTCTAGACTTCGAGTTTCTACAATTGATATACTAATAAAGAAACAGTTAAAGTTTTCGAATTAATCATAATTTCAAACTTCTAGAATTTACAAGAAACTAACTAGCTGGCGCGCCTTTGGGGTGTTTTCGTCTGACTCATCTTTCTCAATTAAAAAATATCAATGATTTTCAGAAGTTCGGAACTGAATTCGCATCATGTTTGAAAGATTTCGATTTCATCTATTCTTTTGAATTTTTCCCTAGTAGTCTCATGATTTCTTCAATCACAAAACACTATTTCAGCTAAATAGAAGGTACACTTTCTGCATTTCTTCCTCCAATGGTCATTGGAAGGAATCAGATGTTCAAAGAACTACAGTTCACGCAACTGCTCTTGATTTCCGATTACTCTCTACTCGATACCACATCAGTACTGTGTATTTGTGTGTAAACACCAAAACTCTTTTTCCCTTCTATGTATTTTTTCTCTATTTTCATTAGTTTTCAAAGGTTCTGAACGGCTTACGCGAGAGATAGGTAGATAAAAATAGTTATGTATTCTCCTCGTTGAATTTTACACCTTCCAAGCTTTTCGAACCCATTCCATTATCACCTCAAAATGAGAAAAAGAAAAAGAAGAAAGCATAAAAATGTTCTCATAAAATTGTGGAATTGGGAGCAGCTGCATAGATCGAAGGGATCGCATTTTTTGAAAAGTATTAAATATAAAACGCACCATGCTCGGTGTCCAACTCTTCTCGTCACAACTTTCTTGTGTTCCGTAGTATATCGCCTCTTTGCTGAGACGTTGCTGACGAAGGGACGGTGCAGATGATTCGCTGAAAATGAATAGAATATTAAGGAATGAATTCATTATGTGATGATGTGGAGGGTGTGATGGGTGAATTGTGAAGGATTTGGGTCAGAAGATTTTTTAGAGGAGGCTTGACACTGTACACATCTACATAATCTGTATTCGTTTGAGGCAACAGACACTCTTCCATCTTTTTTCCCTCTTTCCGCAATAGAGATTCTACTAAAGAGGCGACAGAAGGAGAGTAAGAAGTGTCCGAAAAGAAAGTTTGAAGGGGAGAAAAAGATGTTGGTAGAAGTATTCTGAACAAATAACGAGGACGTAGTGGCCAGGTTGTATTGTATAGTACTCTAATAACCATGATGCAGATTTATAAGTCACAGGAATATTGATCCGGGGGTTCAACTTGACTAAAAAGCAAGGAAAATGTTCTGATTAGAATTCCGAAAAAGTGAAAGTTTTACATTTTGAAGAAACAAATCAATTGGTCCAATAAAGCTAGAACTGATTCTATCTCATATAAATTTTTCTTCTAGAAATCGAATGACAGCCACCGAAGTTACATTGAATTTTTTAGAACTTTCAGGACGGTCTGTCTCGATTTCTAGTGGCAATCACATAAACATGAATTATTTTAAAGCTAATTATAACTCTTTTAAAGCTACAATTATCGTATTTCCTGTAATAGAAGACCACGCACACTGTCAACTTTAAGCTCAATTATCTCGGTTCATATGAGAGGTATCAAAAATTTGTCAACCAATAAAATATTGGCGATATTATAATAAATAATTTATCTGTTGACACACTTTTGATATCTTGCATAGGGATTGAGGTAATTGAGCTCAATCTTGACAGTGTGATTATTCGGATTTTCAAGACGGAGCGTCTCAATTTCTGATGGTCCCTCCAGAATATGAAAAATGTTTCAAGCTAATAAGGAAAATTAACAAATTCCAATTCTAGGAAGGATATCAAAAAGAAAAAGAATGAAGCATTCTCGTTCCATTCGACACAATAATCCGTTGGGGCATATAGAGGCGTCCACACAGAAAAAAAACCTGCGCGGCTCAATACTGTCAGCTCTTTTCTTTTCATTTACCATTCTCCACCTGAGGCCCGTATCAAACTGCTATTCAATCTGCGATCTACTCAAATCCAACACTATTTCGTCCTTTCAAAAAGTAACCGGTCTGAGCACAGAGGGCGCCACAGGCGGTTTTCGAGAGTATCGAATTACGGTTACGCTTGAGAAATATACAGACAGCATGCGGAAAGCCATGCGGAAAGTGGAGAAAAGAGGAGAACAAAATAGAGAAGTGAATTATATCCATAGGTTGGCATTAAACGTTCCGATTGAATTGGTTTGGGAAGTGCGAACGATATCTTTGTTCCTTGGTATTAGTTTTAAAGTTGATGAGTAGTTGTCATTGGGGAAAACTGACAATGAAGTGGGACATGACACCTGACAAGATGTGTTTCTCAGAAGTTAAAGTTACAAGTATCGAGTTTCGGAAAAATATATTGTCCAGCACAAATCGGCAAATCTAAAATAAGTTGCTCCACACAGAGCAGGTCTCCTAAATCTTATGAAAACATGAATTTCGGGATCTCAAACAAAAAATTGCAATTCAAAAACCAAATTGAACAAATCAATAAATACTTAGCTGATAACAGATCTACCGTATTCCCTCCTATAGAAGCCCATCCAATCTGTGAACTTTGAGCTTAATTATCTCGATTCTCGTGGAAGATATCCAAAAGTTGTCAACTGATAAATTATTTATCATAATTTCACCAATATTTTATCAATGTTCAGTATTTTCATATCTTTCACAGGAATCGAGCTCAAAATTGACGGTTTGGGTTATCTTCTTTCAGAGGAAGTATGTATATTTAGGAGTTTCTTAGAAAATTGGGTTGACCTAAATGAAACAAAAATTAGAACAGAAAATTAGGAAATTTTCAAAACCACAGCGCTTACTCTTAGTACTAGTTATTGGATAAAATGGAACCTATCCAAAACAAGCGACGAGGACAAGTACTCGTACATTTTACCAGTTCATCCGAAACGATTCGTGATGATTCAACCCTATCCCGAGGTTATAATTACCCTTTGTCATATTCCGATAGTATTTTCCAAATCGTTCTCTGTTCTCCCTTTTCCGATGCCCTTGCCCCTTCCGAACTCAATTTCCCAAAATCGTTCCTTCCCCATTTTTTTGGTGCTCTCGGTTTCCGTTTAGGCATTTTTTGCCGACGTAATATATTTTTGTGGCGAGGGATGGAAGAATGTTTTATGCATGTGTACATAGTGAGATGGAAACGAAAAAAAGCATATGGGGAGGCGAAAAAAAGAACTGAAAATTGGACTTTTCCGCTTCTAGTACATTTACATGTTTCCTCCAGGTACTCCAATTTTAAATCAAAGCTCAGAGGGTTTTGGGAGTGGTTGAGAAGGTTAAATTTGTCATGAACAGCTTCTTATCTTATCAGGTAAAAAGGAAAGAAAACCGTTACGATTTTAGTGATGTAAAAGAAAAAAAAATGAGGAATAGAAAAGAGAGGTTTTGAGCAAATATTACCAGTGGTTATTATAGGTATGATTTATATATTTGAACGTTTTACTTTTGGGAGCAAACACATTCGTAGGAAGTTCCCAGACTGTAGAGAAAGAAGTTAACTTGGAAAACAAAATCTTGGAATTCCACATACCGTATCCTTCTTGGGTGCGGGGGCATATTTCTGGCTGTGCGAACTACAGTAGTCGTGCCATATTTGTCGGCAACCCAAGGGCCCACAGCGAATTTCAGCATTTTCAGAGAGTAATTCTAGAGACAACCAACAGTCAGATATTGACAGAATGAGTCGTATGGAGCCCACAGACAGCAGCTCTTTGAATTTACAGCTGCATCATGTTGTTGCAAGCATTTGGCCCGTGGAATGAGAGAGAGAGTGTGTAGGTTGAAGAGAATTAGAATGAGAGGGCGTGGCTTCGAGGGAAAAAGAGGGAGGAGGGAAGAGGAAGAAGAAGAAGAAGAAGAGGGCAGTCAATCAGATGGAAAAGCTGGACGGGTGGGATGGGAAAGAAGAAGACAAAAACTGATTGTTGTTTGACACTGGAAGAGAAAAACCGAAGATGCGAAGAAGCGGAAGAAGAAGAAGGCGTCAGCTGTTGCTTTTTCAATTTTGTATAGTGTTTTAGGCAGTTACTGATCGGTTGGAATGGGCCACCTTTTCAGCATAAATGCTTGAATACGTGTTATTCTGGAGACAATGTTTAAGAGTGAGACGATGATTTGAGATCGGAAGAAGAAGAAGAAGCTGGAGAAGAGGAAGAAACAGTGGGAGGAGAAAAAAGAAGCAAAAGAAGAAATTTGATATGGTATCTAGAACTGCGAAAAAATCAGAGATTAAAATAAAACTTTGAGACTTCTGAATTGATTTCAAAGGTTCAAGGTTCTGAAAAGAACTTGAGATTGTAGACATTCTGAAATGTAAGACTCGGTTTCTACAAGCCAGATCTCAAAATAGTTTTCGAAAAAAATATAAACCGAGCGTTTGAAAAATTATGATATATACAGCGTTTGAAAAATTATGATATATACATTTAAAATACTTCCAAAAGAAACCAACTTATTCTTAGAAGGGAACCTTTTAAGTTGGCCCTCTAATTTGCATAAACTGACTTCACAGGATGAAAGAGTATATTTGAAAACCTCTACAACTGTTTTCAAAATCTGCTTAAACCTCAAAAGTGCTGAAATTTCACTACTCTAGAGGTTTCTTAAGCAGGTTTTGAAAACGGTTTTATAGGTTTTCAAACATGCTCTCTCATCCTGTGAAGTCAGTTGCGAATTAGAGGGTCAACTTAAAAGGTTCCCTTGTTAGAAAAATAAAACAAATAGCAATTTTGACCCGATGAGATACCGTAATCCCTGCAATAGAAGAGCCCACTCAAACCGTCAACATCGAGCTCAATTATCTCAATTCCTGTGAAAGATATAAAAAAAGTTGTCAACTGATAAATTGTTAATTAAAAAATCACAAACATTTTATCAGTTGACAAATTTTTGATATTTTTCATGGGAGCCAAGATAAATTAGCTCGAACTTGACAGTGTAGAAGAACCCTTCTATTACATGGTTTACGGTAGATTAACTAAACTTCTTTAAAATTCCTTGCGATATTAAACGCCCTTCTATCACAGGTCCCAGACCGATTAACTAGAATTTTGAATTAGGGGTTATTTTTCTTCCATTTTTTGTTATTTTTGGGTATGTCTTCCTCATTTGGATCTCTTCCTTCAGTTGTTTTAAAAATAACAGCAATCTTCTTTTACGGCTTCCTCTCCCATTTATTGAATAAAACAATTAATGCATGCTTTCCCAAACCCTTCTTTGCCATTTCCACTAATTCTAATGATCCCACATATAGGGAGACCCCGTTGTTTACCTGTTTTGCCTCTACCACCCCCGGACCACCCCAACGGATTATGTTGCCTTTTTCGGGATAGATACGAACGAAATTGAATACCACCTCCTGCTGGGAAATGGGGTTCGATTGAGCAGAGGAAGAGGAGGAAGCCTGTGTGGTGGGGGTCATAAATTGGTGGTTGGAAGGGAAAGGTGCTTGACCGATTCACTATCTGTTTTCTTCTATATTTTCCTATCATCATCACCAACCACTTTACACCTAAAGGTGTTCGGGAAGTGAAAGAGGTAGTGAGAGATCCTTGTGAGAGGAAGAGAAGCTTTTTGCTCCAGACCTCTTTTATTTGATTTCCTTGGGACCTTGAGCCCACCCTCAACTTGTCTTTTTGGCTTTACGATCAACTTTGCGTTTATCAAAAAATAGAAGGATGTGTGGTCTTCTGTGTAGTAGGGGATCTTCCCCATGGGACATATTTACACATGTAAAAACGAATATGAAAATAGGGAGAAGAGGAAATAGGGAGAAGAAAAGTGCAATTGGAGGGTGCAATTGTCCACAGGAAGAAATTTTTCAAAGAAAGAACGAGAAGAAAAAAGTTGCTCATTAGAATTCAATATGAGTGAAGCGCCCCGTCAAGAGAAGCAAATGCTAAAAAAAGATGAAAGTGTTTCCAAGAATCCGCGCATAATGAATTCTGAGTAAGAGAAACAGGAGTCAAATAAGAGATTGTGTATACAAATTTTATGAAAAAAAGAAGGAAAACTAGGAAACATTTTTTCATTTGACGAAGATCGTCAGATGAAGAAATCAATGTTTTCATTAAATTTAATTAAACAAATGGAAAACTGGAAAAAAGATGAACGACCGCCAAATAAACCTAATTTAAGAACCAAGTGGAACTAAAGAATGATCAGAAGATCCAAACATACCGAAACGCTCTGGGTGGCACTTTCTCATCGAAATCCTCTCGTTCCTGACATGTGGCCAATGTAGCTGTCCATACATTGACACATAATCCTTTAAGTTTAAGGCATGCTTTGCCAACGAATGATGGCACTTCCATTCGGGCGACAATGTTCGGAGAAGAAGCTTTAGAAGAAGGGTTTACTCCTTTTTCGGTTCGTTTCTGGACATGAGGTCGGCTGAAGGTTTGGAAAAGTGAGGAAAAACGGAAAGGATACGAAACGAATTCAGAAGCAGATAATAATCAAGAAAAAATGAGAGAAGAGAGAAGTTAGGGAAAAGTGAAATGTGAAGAGAAACTCTTAATCAAGGTATTGGAGTTTTTATAAAAAGGTTGTCAACTGAGAAATTGTTTATCATAACATCAAAAGTGCTTTGTCAGTTGAGACGGTTTTGATGTCTTGGACTGGACTTGAGATAATTGAGGTGAAACTTCACAGTATGGCTTATGTATTCTTTTTTTATTACAGGTTTTGCGGTATTTTGGTGAAATACTTTTGAATAAAAAGTCATTATTCAAAGTTAAAAAAGTCAACATTTTTTAAAATTCTGATTTATAAATCTATATAGTGAAAATATAGTGAAAATATAGTGAAAATTACTATATAGTGAAAATTTTGATAAACGCAAACGACTATATAGTGAAAATTCTACTTTTCAAAGTATTGGGTTTACTGGAAAAGAAAAAGAAAAAAAAGAATAAAGATTAGTCTATTTGAATGTTCCAAGATTCGAAAACCCGAAGAATTTCCAAAAAGGGTCTCATTCTCGTACAAATAAAACTATTCTCAGGAAAATAAAGCGTACTTTTCCCGAGAATCCATCAAGATCTAAAATCGGGAGTACAAAACATGAAGAATCCCATAAAAGCAAGTACTAACAATACGGTCTAAAACAAATCTTGATGGAAACAAGAGCGAGAGAAAATGAAGAAAGACATAGAAAAATAATGAAAAAAGAAAATGGTTTTCGCGCATACCAACCGACCTGTCTCTCATTTTCCCTCAATCTCGTGTGCCGTTCAGGGTCGTTGGCCTTTCAAAAAATGAATAGGATGAGGGACGAAAAAACGAGAGAATAGATGACGTAAAGTGGACACAAGGTGCCTGTGTTGACTGTCAAGGCAACGGTCATTAAGGATACATCGTCGAAAAGCATCAAAATGCGCTTATGAGGTCAATTGGCAGCATTCGGATTTTGATATGAATGGGGCACAAGGGGTCCGAGAGGATGACCCACATGAGAAAATCCGTAATAGATGAAAATGATGAGATGAAAGACGAAAAGTACTAGTGGATATGAATTTGTCAAGTGGAATGGACGGTATGGAGATGAAGAAGAAGAAGCAAGTTGAAAAAGGCATTCTAATTGTAGGGGTGTGGTCGGCAGCAAAATGGGAGGAAAAGCCGAAAATGGTAGGATACGGTGCGAAGAGACACAGAAAGACCAACCCGACGACATAAAACTTTTTTGCTATACTTTTACTCCATCTACAAAAGTTGAAAATACAAAGAGAACGAGAATTATTCTCGGTAATAACATGGATTTAGTAGTAGGAGAAATCGATGGGAGTTAGAAATGTTGATTCACTTATTATTCTCCAGTAGCTAATTGTCCAGTTATTGTAGATTGACAAAATCGAGGACTTGTATTATTTATAAAGAGGGTGTGTTTTGGAAGAAAAAAAATTGAATTGAATTCAGTTGAGTCACAGAAACTTCAATGAGAACTACCGACTACAATGGTTTGTTTTAGTCAGCATTTTTTTTTGAAATAGTCCAAAGATATTTGAGAGTTCAAATTACCTATAATAGAACAACTCTCATCCTGTCAAGTTTGAGCTCAGTTGACCAATTTTTGATATCTCTCAAGGGAACCGAGATAAATTGACTCAAAATAAAACGTTAGGGGTCGATCAAATACAGGCTTTACGGTAGGTTGTGAACGAGATCAAGTATTTTCTTCAAGCATTGTGAATTTCTCGTCAAGTTTTGGCCGAATTTAAAAACAAGCCCCCTTTGAAAAGGGGTTTCAAAAACTGGACATCTAAAGGAAGAAGAGGTTCTTAACTACTAAAAAAGTACTTTCCGTTCCTCTTAAAGGTCAGACGACCAGACAAAAGAGAACTATAAAATTTGCAGAAGATGAGTCAAAAACAAAAAGGAAGGGAACCCCACCAACGTGGATGATTAGCGACCTCATCGTTGTCTTGTGACACAAAAGGTACAACAAATTGGAGAGATGGAAGAAACTGGTTTTCCAGTAGTGAAAGGCATGGAATAGTATAAGGGAAAACGACTACAGAATTCTCCTAAGAAATATGGAAAATATGGAAAGTTTCAATAAAAGGGCACCTCGAAAGATAAATGAAAAGACACGTTTCCGGTTCACGAGAAAAGCTCACCGACGAAGAAAAACGAATCAAGGAGAGTGATATGACAGGCAGGCAAAGCAAAAATGTTGATAATGACAGGACGCCCGGATGGATAAATAAACGAGCCACCGCTATCTCATTGATCTCCTATATTTCATTCCCGGATCAAGGTGCGGAAGAAATTATTTTGTGGAGGAGAACTGGGATTTCAAAAAAAAATTGGACACATTTTCGAATTTGTTGCCAAGATACATATAGGGTTGACAGGCAGATTGGACTGTGCGAAAAAAGGCGAGAGCCGACTCAGAACCACACCGACAAACAACCGTTTATGTGTCTATGTGTATTTATGTATTTGGAGTAGAAAAAACGAGAAAAGACAGCACTTTAGTGAGACTCACCATTTTTTTTGTGCTCATTCTTTACTTTTCCGGTCAGCCAAAAAAGGTGTCGGAAAGCGATAGGTGTGAATGGATCTTTAGAAAACTACAAGCCTCATCACATGCTAAATAATGAAGGCTCGTGATTGCGTCTAAGCCTAATAGGATTTTTTGGGTATGTGGGATATGGAATAAGTCTATCTGTTGGAGTATGATCTAGAAACTTTGTCTGAAGCATATCAAGTGCAAACCGTTATCATAAGAGGAATTTAATTAAAGGCGTTGAGATACAGTAAAACTTGTAATAGAAGCATGTTAAAAGTTAGAGAGCCCTTCTATTACAGGTTTTACGGTATTTGAAATTGCTGATAAACTAAATAGTAGCTTACAATTAGTCACACCAATTAAGAAACACAAGGAACAGCTTCATCAGAACCAACAACTAAGTCAAACAAGATTGCCGCTCATCACCTCGTTCTAGACGCTGTTCGTTTCCGACGCATTTTGTCTGACGCCTTCTTTTTTATTCGATTGATTGGTTGCATAAGAGCGAATAAATTGTGTGATGTGATGATACTATCAGAAAAAAAAAGATGGTCGGAAAAGAGAAATTTTCCAGAGTGATTGATGATAGTGAATATCGCGGCCTCATAAAAAACTAGTAGATACAACGAAAGAGGTGCCAAAGCTAAAGTTATTGTCCTCCCGTCTCTGACCCGTCGAGAGGATGCTCATAAACAACTCGTAGTAGTAAAACAAATATGACCAAAAGAGAGTACCCGCAACTTGATACAAACGGGAAGTTTCTCGACTTCTACATACTAATTGGATATCTGAGATTGAGAGTGAAAGAGGGCGTACCTATCTGTGGCGTAGTCTCGAGTGCGTCTTGGGGAGAGTGGTGTGATGAGGGGAGCACATACGACGGCGCCATCCGATGCGTAGCCGAGTGCATCTGATGAGTCGGTGTCGTGACGAGCGGAACTCAACAGACGACGTGCCAACAGTTGACCACTGTGAGATAGCATGCGATATTCAAGGGGAGATGTGTGATGTGTGCGGGGAATGAGGACAAATCAGTTATGAAACTAACCTGGATGGGAGTTCTGGAGAATCTGTAGTCGTGGTGTTGGTATATCGAGATGAGTCAATAGATTGGGTGTTTCCAGAAAAGGTGGATCGAAGGAAGGAAGATTTTGATAGACTTCTGAAAAAAAAATGTTGGAAGGAAGCTTATTGCTCTGCTTTAATTTCAATGCAGATTGCGGCCGAAAATTCGAGGGTGGGCGGAGCTTACGTCCGGTAGCAAAATCTTTAAAGGAGCATTTAAAGGAGCATGTATTTATATATATTTTTTTACTGGCTTAGGTTTTTGATTTTTCGATAGTTTCCTTTGTTTCTATTCATTTTTTTGAGAATCACAGATTCTGTAAAAAATTCAAATCGATAAAATTTATCGACGAACCGAAAAAAAAAACTATTTGTCAAAGATTGTTTTCAGGTAGTTTTTTCGCAATTTGTTGGATTTCTGTGAAAAATAGATCGAAATCGACGAAATTTATAGAAAAATCGAAAAAATGCATGTGACTTTAAGGATTTCGCTACCGGACCTGAACTCCGCCCACATTTTCAAACGAATGTGTTCTTACCTATGAAAATTCCGATGTCCTGCTGACTTTCGATGTTCATTTTCTTCCAATGTCTGATACTCCGTCCTTCCACTGTATCGAAATTTTGAGCCAAAATTAAAAACTTTCCTTTGTGGGGTCTTTGGGGGAGCCTTCAATCGGAAAAACGTATGCTGTTCGATACAACATTTCCATAAAAGTTTACAAGTTTTCGCTGACATAATATTGAACACTATGTTCGTTTCGCTCTGAAATCATTCAAGTTTTCAATAAAGTTTCTGTTGAAAATACTTACAATTCCTTCTTCGTTGGCCACCAAAACTTGAAATTGTTTCTTCTTAAAGCTAAGTTTCCGAATTCTTGCCCATGCATATTCATCCATTTTTATTCCGTCATGAAATACTTTGATTCCAACTGCGCCTACTCCAATTTCGATTAGCAGATTGTTGGCATCTCGTCCGTCGTAAACATCCATCCCGTACATTTCAAGACGTCGAGCATGGTCAAGGAAATTTTGCTCCGCGATATCAGGAGTTTGGCCACTGAAATATAATTTTTGAAGGGATCTCAAAGGTTCAAAAATTTTAAAAACCTACATATGAAGTTGATGAAGTTCAGCTACCCGATCGGAAAAATCGTCAGGAAGCGTAGCAAATTGAATCTTATAACAGAGACATGCCCTCGACATACCATGGGTTTTCTCCTCAAAGTCACCGACCTCCACTGAAAATTCAGAATATGAATAAATAAAATTGCAGAAATTACACTATCAGCTATTATCCTGTGATTCACTATTATCCTGTGATCAACTATTGTCCTGTGAAGAACTATTATCCTGTGATCTAAAACATTTTCTTGTCTTGAATTCAACTAATTACTAACTCGGTTTTTCCTCCATCTTCCATTTACTACAAATGTATGTCCCTGTTATACTCCTAGATTCATCTCCTAGATTCATCTCCTAGTTTCATAGACATTTCACGTGTTAGTGGTTTTCTCCCCTTTGTTGAAAAATAAATAAGTTAAAAAAAAAAAATTAATCAGAGATATCAAAAAGTGGTCAACTGACAAAATGTTCATTATATTATCGGATATATTTTGTCAGTTGATCACTTTTGGGTATCTATCACAGGGGCTCTTCTATTACAGGTTTTACGGTATTTGTTTTCGTTTCTTCCAATACAATTTGCAAAGAAAAAACTTACCTTGTACTACATAACTAGCTAATAGAGCAAGTGATCCTTCGTTACATGGTAATTTTCCTTCTTCTAAATTCTGCCTGACTTGCTGATAAAATTGAAACCTTGTAAACTCGTCGCGAAGACGATTCGGGTCTCGTACGAAGAATTTCACTCGGAAAAATAGATGATATGGCGGACACACCATCTGCTTCCGCAAGTTTTTTGATGGATCCAGCCATTTCTGGAATTTATGAAATTTAGCTATTTTGAAAATCAAAAACGAACCTTCTGTTGTGTACTTGAGCTATCGACAGCGATGAAAACTAATCCGAAATAGTCCCTTTCGATGATTTCCAAATAGTTGAACACCTTTTCCAACAGAACTATTCCAAGGGAATTCTTCTGAAAATAAAACCATTATTCTAATCGAATGAAAGTGTTGATCAATCTTATTTGAATAGAATCTGAGAAACTACAACGATGTCTTACCTCTATCTCAAAATGGAACGAAGTGCTATCCAAGAATGTTACAGTACACCTGATCTGATTTGGGGGCGGAGACTTGACGGGTGCCTGACCGATGGCCTCCGTTCGCTGTACATCATAACTATTTGAGCCAAGACGCATTTCTCCTATGTCATTATGGAGAAACGAGAAGATGATAGAAGGACGACGACAGACGACGGCTTCTGCGAAAAAAAACAAAATGATGATGAGAGGAAAGAAGAACAGCAGAAAGGAAAAACAAAAGGGAGAGCCAAAAGATAGTGTTCCAGGGGATGAGGTCAGCTGAGAGAGGAGAAAAACCAATTTGCTGCTCAATTTATAGTTTTTTTTTGTTTGGGAGGAGAGAAGGACCAGAACAGAAACAGACGGGACGACAAAGGGGAAATAAATAGAAAAGTGAGGGTGGAGAAATTGAAGGAATGAAAAACAGATGAATGGAAATGGGGAAAAGAGGATGAGAGAGTGGTCATTTGAGAGATAAATCCATGGAAAGGAAGAGACAGAAGTGCAACATGATGCTTAAATGAAAAAGGAAATGAAAATTGAAAGTGTGGGGTCAGTTTAAGAAATGAGGAGATGTGAGGTATCAAGAGATTTCTGGATCTGTGAACAAATGAAATCGGTTTCCGGGAAAGAAAATGAATTAGAAAGCGTGAGATTTTGAGAATTCTTGCAAAACGTAAATCGAAGAAGAAGTAAGAAGTTTAGGTTCAATTTTTTCGTACTGAACACTCCAGTAAGGAAATCTCCGAGTTTGTATTATAGTTCAAATCAGAAAAGATTAATCAGAAAATTGTTAAAAGTAAATTGTTTGCTAAAAGTTTGGACTGGGTCGTTCAAAAGTTTCTCTAGAAATTGAAACTTTTATTATGCTGGTTCAAAGAAATCGGAGATATGGAAGAGAAACTCAGGTAGCCGTTGCTGAAGGTCTCACAACGAAAACTACAGTAACTTACAAGTATTTTTGTTTTCAACATTTCGTTCTTGTTTTGCTGATTTCTGTCGATTTTTTTGCTATTTCTCCCCCAATAAATCGGAAATTTAGTAGCGAGGAAATTAACTGGAACGTACAGGAAAAGAGAAAAAACCCAGAAAATAAACCATTTGTAGGTTACGGTAGTTGTCGTTATGGGACCTTCGGCCACCGGCGTTTCTCTTCCACTGCTTGGATTTTTTGTATCATTTAGTAGTAAAGCATTCAGAGCTCACTAAAACCAGCTCAAAATGCAACACTTTGATTCTAACTTCTCCGAATTTCGGAATAATTATAGGTTCTGAATCAGTGCAAATGACTTCACCATTTTCCATGAAACCCGAAACTACTGTCCAAAGAAAAGCGAAAAAAGTGGAAAAAAAAGTGAAAGTCAGTTTTTAGCTTCACTCTTCACAAAAACCATGACTACAATGCCTCAAAATGATAGATGAAGTGTCACGAATCCTTTTGCCTTCCTCTCAGCTCCTGCTTCTTCTTCTTCTTTTCCGTTTTCCGTTTCCCGGACATTCGAGATTTTGGGAGCCTAATGAGGTGAGAGTGCTTGTTGCTCTTGCTCTAAAAGAGAGAAAGAACAATATTTGTTCTTCCTAGTACAATTGACTTCTGAAGAAAACAGAGCCGATTTTCAAAATAATGATAAAATGATGGATTTGTTTTGCAAAGGGAAAAAAACTGGACCACCAGATGGAATGGACGAAGAAATGAGCCAAGAGGAGCAGAAGACGAGTGTAGGATAAATGAGAAAAATGGACAGGCTCTCGTTTGCTTCTAAACCAGCAACAACACATTATGAAGTGGTGGCCAAGGGGTATGAGGAAGAAAAAACCCGACGGAGAATAGGTTTTTTGGGGTGGAAATAGAATAGAAAAGTGGACCGAAAAGAAGGAAGAGGCCCCAAAAATTGAAAGAATTGGAGGCAATTATTAGAGGCAAAGAGAAGAAGAAGAAGAGAGAAATGCACCGGAAAGGATATGTGACACAAGTTGAAAGAAGTGTGATTGATGACGTAAAATATTAGTAGGTGGGATGGAGGTAAGAAGGCACATCGGTTCAAAAGTATTGGTCAGAAATCGCGCCCCAGTGAACTTGATATTGGGGCATCTCATTGTTACGGTTTCTCACCAAGCTTTTCGAAAACCCTGTGGACATTTGGGATAGTAGGAATTTTAAACTGGTTCAAAAAGTTACAATTATTGAGAACCAGAAAAATATACACAGGGACCACCAATACTAGGGAAAAATGCAATGCATTCTCACCCTTTCTCTTGAGAGCATACACCAAAAAGCGGATTAGAAATTAAGGAAGAGTGGTGAGTAGAAGAAGAAGAGGAAGAAGGGGTCGGCAACTCGCTTATGATATAATTGAATGACACGAAATGCGGAGAAGGGTGCAAATTGGGATAAATGGAGTGGGAAAAGCGTCGGAAAAGAGAGATGGGTTGAAAATGGAAAAGAAGGAAGCGGCGAAGTTACAGACCGACAAGAAAATCTGAGTATGATACTGTAATCTGATAGGAAATCTAAATTTTCTTATTGAAATGTTAACTCATCTTTCGATTTTTCAGGTAACCATTTCATACAGTTCAAGTTCGGAATCTCACAAATCTTTAGTAATTGAATAACCCTATTTTATTTCATTTGCAAAATCCAAAAATACTAGAATTTCGAAATCTTTGAATTGAAATTTTTGCGATAATGAGAAGAATCCGAATGGCCATGCTTACGGAAGCTTATAAAAACTTTACATCCGGTCAAAGAAAAAAACATCATTCCTGAAATAGTATAACTAAGAATCAGAGCTTATCTGAATTCTAAGAAGTATCAGATTGAAACTAGACTTTAATTTAATGTTTAATATTCAATTCTTAGAAAAAAGGAAGAAAAGTTGCAAAAGATGTATAATTTGCATACCCAGAAACTGAACAACGATGGCTTCTTTTTCTCACACGAGATTTCGTTTTTCGGAAGCAAAAAGTTAGTGGTCAAAAAGAAAATAGGGGCTCTATTTCTTTTTCTCACTAAGCTTTTTCTCTCTCAAAACATATCCCCCCCCCCCCCGCACTCTACCAAAGGGTCAAATTGTGCATATGAAATGAACCCAAACTTGTCGTTTTCGTTTTCCGTTGTCCATGTCTTCTGGAGTGAGAAGGACCGCCTGTCCATTCTCCTTTTTCTTCCCTAGAACCCGAGAAACATGGAATCCCCGAAGGGATCAACCGACTCGTGGCAATGATGTATTGCTTGGTTTTTGCATGTGTGGAAATAGTGTGTAGGTTGAAGAGACACAGACAAACGATGTCTATGATAGTAGTCGTTAAAATGGAATTTTTGGCGTAGAAAATTTCAAGTGCGGTAATGCAAAAAGCAAAAACGAGAAATAGGAAAAACAAAACACCAAGGATAGTTTCCGGGAGAAGAGAAAGTCAGAAATGGGCGAAGTTATGATTCGGACCTGAATTTTGGGGAAACTGTAACTTGGTAAGTAATCTTTAAAACAAATTTTGTAACTAAGAAAATACCGTAAAACCTTCAATAAAAGGGCTCCCACATAAAGTGAGATATAAGAGCTCAAAGTTGACAGTTCGGGGCCCTCATATTGCAGGTTCTGCGGTAGTTTGAACTCATGGATTATTGTAGCCCAATAGTATAAAGAATCTTATTCAACTGAACTAAATTTCTTGTTACTGTTCGTATGGATACGAAACCTTACACACCGAATTCTGAGAACCAACTTCAAAACGATTATATCGAATTCATCCCAAATCGAGTCAACGAATTACAAAAGAATAAAAAACGGGAGGAATCCAAAAAAACTGGTAACTGTCTACTCTGCTAAACGAACAGTTCATTTTTTTCACACTGCCTGGATCTGATCTATACTACATACACGTAATATGCCAATAACGCCAATAGTATAGACCCAGATGGCTGCAATAACGACTACATCATTTTCATATAAGTAGTCATTCATCGGGGGAAAAAAGATTGGATGCTCGACGGATTCCGAATCAACGATGGACAGAAAAAAACGTGATTCTGACGGGGCCCGAGAAGAAAGTCCCGAAGTATTTTGTGTTGAGGAATGGAAATGTGTAAAACGAGACTTCGACTAATAAAAACGCCCGGGCGCCCTCCCGTCGAATTGATCAAGCCGAGGGCAGGCAAAACTGGCTCCCGGAAAAATGAGAGCACATGCGAAGGATGAAGAAGAGGTGGGAGTGATTGGGATCGGAGAGTAGTAAAAAGCACACGAACATTTTTATGAGACGATTTGAAGCGATTTATTGATGAGTATTACACGAAGAAGAGCCGGAAAGAGACAAGAAGAAGATGAAATTGCAAAAGAAATGAATGATTGGTGGCGATGGATGATAGGGGAGAAGACATCCGGAGGAAAGTTGGTTTCGAAATTTTCGAGCGAGAGAGAGAGTTCGGAAAAGAGAAGATAGGTTCCGGTTATCAAGAATTATCAGTGTCGGGGTTGAGTGTCAGAGATATAGCAACATAGTACTCAAAAAATCTGTCACATTTGAGAGAAGAAGAAATTCTACACCTATAGGCTGAGAAGAAATATTAGCAATCACACTAAAACTCAAAAATGAACTTACTCAGTTGGAAGATTCCAGAGAAAACATTTCTTGGTTACGAAGGCTCAAAGATTCAAGATGTTGAGTATTACTCTGGTCTAATTTCAATTGCGACCATAAGCTCGAAGGTGGGCGGAGCTCAAGTCCGGTAGCTAAATCCTTAATAGGGAATTTAAAGGAGTATGTATTTTCATAATTGTTTTCTGGCCTACTTTTCGATTTTTTAGACGAGTTTTATCGATTTTCAATAATTTTCGTTGTTTGAATGCAATTTTCTTTGCGATATGTAGGATTTTTGCGAAAAAAAGTCAATGAAATTCATCGAAAAATCGAAAAAAAAGACCACAAAATAATTGCGAAAATACATGCTCCTTTAAATGGACATTTAATGATTACCGGACCTAACCCCGCCAAAGTGATATCTTAGGTTTCTATTCTTCCCGATATTCTCAAATTCAAAAGCTTTCAGATCCTAGAATCTCAGATACTTAAAACTTTTGGTTCCATTTTTAGGTCTCGCTCGATGTAAACTTAAAAAAAATTCTTCTCCAAAATCTATTGAATGACAGGAAATTTATTGCTGCCAGAGTTTTTTTTTTTGAAATTAGGAATCAAACAAGAGATGGCACACAAAAAAAATGAGAATCTCTTAAAACTCTCCGAAAAACAAGAACGATGATCATTGTTTCTGACTCTTTCTCCCATATGGCTTGAGGAGGTAATAAGACGACAGTGTTGTGCAATCAGGAAACGACCTAAACTATTTGGCAAACAGAAGAGAATGCACGTTATGTCCCATGTTCTACACATCCTCCTCACTTTTCTCCTCTTTTTTGTTTGATTTATGCGATTGCTTAGACTATTGATATGCGTTTTGTCTCCTTCTTCTTTTTTTACCAATCCCCACATTTTCTATTCATGGGAACACTAAACGGAAAAAGTGTATTAGAAAATGGTTATAAACGGAATGAGACCAAAAAAGTTGCAACTTGGGAAAGAAGTGTTCAGAAGAAAAGGAAGAGGACGAATAAGAGTGTGGATCGCACCTGTTGTGAAAGTTTGAAAATGCTGTAAAGTGATGGTTTATGATCATTAATTGGGCATGAGACGGATGTAATTGAAAATAGACAAAAGTAGTAACTGTTCAGGAGTATAAAGGAAGGAATAGAGTACATATAAGCTTGAGATGAAATTCAAAAGATGCGAAATGTCGCGAACCAGCTGGTGCTAAAACCATCGTAAAAGATTTTCTATAGAAAAATGTCGAAAGAAAAGATCCTATAACCAGCTGGAATGGCCTTTTCATTTTGCACTTTTAAGTAGATGAGAATTCAGCTGAAAATGTTAAAAGAGTATGACTGAATTGCTTTTAATTTTTAGGTCAAACCAGTATTCAAAAGTCCAGTATACTCAAAAATAGTAGACACTTATTTTTCGTTAAAATATGAATTATTCTTCTAATTTCAGGATTAAGTTTTAGAGATTTTCAGTCACAAAAAGATTTTCAATCAATTTTTTTTAAGTCTGGATCCAGTTTTTTCTTCAATGCTCTCTCAAAATTCAAAATTTAGATCTTTGAGACCTATCAAATCTTGAATGACTCACTGAAACAAAACCAAGCTGCTTTTTCTAATTCTCTCTCATTTTTCTGGATATTTATTTTTAGGTGACATGTGCTTTGCATAAAAATGACTCATGTATTCGCGGCGAGAAGGGCAAATATCTCCAAAAACAAAGAAATAACATTCGGATTGTTTCAGGATGTGTGAATATAAGAAGGTATTGAATGCAAATCAAAAGCGATGGACACCGATCATAGCAACATTTGCCGGATCGAGTCGAGAAGAAAAGAGTGTGGAAGATGAAGAGACGCAGAGAGACAAGAGACAGGTCGAACAGCCGGAGGAGACGAAGGATAGGATACACAGGAACCGAACATATGGATGAAGCCTAATGAGAGATAATGGGTAAATGATAGACACAGGACGGGGACATGCAGTATTATTATACCGAATCGTATGTATTATTCAGTGTTTTTGCAAATGGAAGAAAAGAGAATGAAAGAGAGAAGACAGGTTGTTGAATTAACAGGAAGGGAGTATAGGTGAAAGAGTTGAAGAAAGGATAAGAGTGATTAGAAGGGCGGAGGAGAGAGTAGTCAGCTGTAGAGGACATAGTGTAACTCTCGAATGGACCACTTTGTTGGCAGTTCGGATATTGTGAGCCGAATTGTTAAACTTACGGAGAAAAGCGAGGTATGGACCTTCACACGGGGTTATCGATACATTAATGAGAGACATAAACAATGCGGAAAACGGGGAACGGAACAATGAGAAGGTGATGAGGAGGTAATAATAGAGAGGAAGCGAAAGAGAGGAGAAAATGAGGCACAGGAAATAGAGTATACGTCATTGTTACGGTTCGGTTGGTACCGTTTTTGTATTCATTCGAGAGCGGGCTAATATCTAGGATTCCAATAGATTTTCTCATGTGGAATATAAATGAATGGATCATGGTCGTTTTGTAAATCATTTGAAAATGTTTCTATTCACAAAATATAATGATGTGCTTATCCTTTCACATTTCAGACATTTTTTGTTTTTAGTAAATATCTATGTTTTTCTGAACCAAAAATTTCGATCCTGTGGATTTGCTGTGTTATTTCTGCAGACAATTCTGAAAATTTTTAAATTCGAAATTTTAAACATTCAGAACTTTCGGTTTCCAGAAATTTAAAAAATTAGCCAACCCTGAAACTCAGTTAATCAGAAATTTCGGGAAGTTCGAAAATTCGAATTTGGAAATACTCCGAAATTTTTGGGACTCGGAAGTTCTGAAGTTAGAAATTCAAGTGTAAGATACAGTAAGCCTAAGTCAGGAGGTATTATTGTTGTGCGAAAAAATTGGAGTCGAGACGCAGACAGTTGAACAAAAAATTTCTCTGCGTCTCCACCGAGTATGTGCTATTTAGGCTTGTCGCTTCGAGGTGCATATCGTATTCAGACTGCAAAAAATACTCTCTAACTCCAATTTTTTCGGACAACAATAATAGAGCAGAGGGCATAAACCGACTGTTTCAGTACTATCCGAACGTTATACCGTGTATGGATAACAAATTTACCTTAAAACCGTGATAGAAGGGCCCCCACACTGTCGTGTTAGGGCTTATTTTTCTTGGCTCGTGAGCAAGATTTAAAAAATGGATCAGCTAATGAAAGACAAGAAATTTACCGGTTGACAGATTTTTGATATCTCTGATAGGAACCGAGATAAATTGCCTCGAAGTTAAAAATTAGAGGGCCCTGCTATTTCGGGTTTTACGGTATAAGGTAATCATTTTCATGTTTTACGCCTTATCAAACTTCCTGGAAAAGTGAGAAACCCCCCTTGACCTCTGTGATTCACTTCCTCCGAAACATTCTTTGTCCTTGTATGATATTCTTCAATGTTCCCACAGTCCAAGAAGAAAGGAAAAGTACGGTGGTCACTAACAGCACGTAATCCCTTTGACTCTCTCGTGAGCCTAAGTACTTTTCAATTCAAACAACACGTTCTTTTGGGAGCTGCTCCCTTGCTCCGGTCGGCTACTCCTTGTCCCACACTTGTTTGTTTTTTAACGACTTCCTTTTGGTTTGAGGTTTAGGGTCATTTTGTCCGAAGCACTTCCTCTATCAGTCGCTGCCCCTCGATCCGATCAGTTACAAAAATGCTTCTTCGATTCTTGATTCTCTCTTTTTTATGTTCGAATTGTTGTATTCTGGCAGCAAAAGAGACTCCATGGTATTATCCTATTATTGAGATTCTACAAGCGAAATTGGTGGATTTTACATGTTCTCAAGGTAAAAAATATGATGAATTCGGTATGATTCGTATGTTTTGCTTCAGAATGCACGACTACAATGGACTGTGATACTGGCTTGAGTTGTTTCCACGCGAGTACCTATTCCAAAGGATGCTGTTTGATGGGTGAGTTCATCTTTACTGAAATTGAATGCTGGAAAGTTTGTAAACCATACTTTCAACGGGCCGCGATATTTTCAGAAATTTCAAGGCCAGGCCCAAACATTTTCGGGCTCAATAGAAAAATAAAATAAAGTTTCTATCGAAATAAGCTTCCCAAGAACGGAGTGTCATTAAAATTTTTTCAAATATGGAAAATCCGGGCCCATTGGTCCGGACACCGATTTTTCAAGTATTCTGTAAACCCCCACTGTTTGAAAATTCCAGTTTCAGTCTCTGCCATTTACCAGAAAACACATCTGAAAGTTCACCCGAACTTGTGTTAATTTCTTATGAATCATAACATTTTTCCCATTTTGCTATGACATTACTTTTCAATTATCGATTTATCTAAAAGTTTAAGTTTTCAACATTTAATTTCTTATGTCCTTCAAGATCTGTCGTTTCATCCGACTGATCACATTTTCTTTGTTTTAATCATTACTTTCCAAAAGTTTGTCATTTTCCTCCACCCTCACAATAACTACTGGGTTATGGAAAGTGTCAAACCCTTTGAAGATAAGCAACAAACATCAGGAAAAGTATTTAAAAAATGATAAGAAAGAAAAGAAAAAAAAACGTTGTATCCCTTGAATCATTCCTGAAATAGATCCTTTGAGTGGGGCATTCTCTAAACAGAAGAAGCCATTGGAATGCAGCCAAAAAATCAGAAAGTCGGGAAAATGTTGATGTGTTATTAGAATAAATTTAGGACTTGGAGATGTAGGTCATTTTCGGATTAAAATGATGAACACAGCTCCAGACATAGTATAACAAATGGAGAATTTAAAAAGAACATAGGATAAACTTCAGTTAAAAATAGACTTGAAAACAATTTGAACTCCCTGAAGCCAGTTTAGAAAATCTGAAAACTAGTTTTGGCTCAGGAAGTCAAGTCTCATTAACATTTTCGTAACGGAACTTCAGTAAACATTTCGACATATATTTCAGCTCTAAAACCAAATGAGACAGGATGTATGATCGAGGATCAATGCAAACAAGCCTGTGAAAGTACAATCTGCGATAGATCCCAGTTTCCATCACGATGTCTTTGTGAGAAAGGACGTCATTTTCTTTTCAATAAATGCTGTAAGTTGTCAAAAGATTTATTTCCTTTGTTTTCTTTTTATTACTCTCAAATTCCGGGTTCAATTTGTTTCTCGAAAATTAAAGATCCATGTTCAATCAATAGTGGGGAATCATACCTAAGAAGATACTAATCCACCTGGATTACAACGTCACAGATCAGAATTATTCTATTGGAGGTAGAAGGGGTGTTAGTTGCAGACGACTTTTGAATTGGTTATTATAAAGATCAGACTGCATTTAAGGTACAAAAGGATTATTGAAAAACGCATAGAATCATAATTTCAATAAAAAACAAAGTAAACAACATAGAAAAAATATTATCAAGACAAACTAGAGTCTAGAACACAATTTAGCAGAAATTCAAAAAAAGCTGTTTCCAGAAGAAATAAAGAAAATGATTTTTGATATAAGACAATACCTTTTTAATGTCAATATAAATGGCAAATGGCATTAAAGGGGTACTCCAACAAAAATGTTTTTGTATTTTTTTTTGCAAAAAAACGCCTCTGGCGTTTCAAATACTGGGGTGCCTTCGGCGCGATTTAACCTATTTGTTTTACTGCTCGTCGCTCCGCTCCTCACTTGATTCACTTGATCACTTGATTACCAAATAACTTTAGAAACATTTCATTACAATTTTTTTCAAAATTCGATCAGAGCCACCTTCAAAATGGAATTTCAAGTTCTGGGATTTTATCAATTCTTTTCAGCATGTGATATCGTTTGTTGATAAACTCTTTTCCAGGGAAGAAATGTCCCGATTTCGCCTATCCAGAACCAATAATCGACGATCGTGGATTCAGTCGATGCGAACTAAAAACGGATTTGAACACTGCTGTCCAGTACATGCGCCGAAACAAACGACAGATGAGAAATAATTTTTGTTAAATCGATCATTTCTGTCCCAACCACGAATTATCCCCCTTATTCTTCAGTATTTCTTGTCCCTCTCCGGTGCTCACGAGTCCCAGTTGCTCATTTCTTATTTCAAAAATTCAAATTTTTTCCAAAATATATGATTTATATTTTTAATGCAATTCCATACAAATAAAAGTATCATCTAAATAAACTCTAAAAATTATAAAAAATTAAAAATGCACAGCTATCTGACAGTTTGTGTGACAGGATTTGGGTTCCCGACAACAAAATACTATTCCAGGGGAAAAAAGGACAAATTGAGAACTTTTGAGGTTGATGAGGGGGTTTTTTGGAGCAGGAGGACAAAAATAGGTTTACCGGTAACAAATTATTTGATGGTTCTTTTTTTGGGGAAAGAGGACAAAATATATAAGTTATAAGGAGAATAAATAAATAAAATTAAATAAAATTAAAGTGATATGCAGTCTCTGGAGTATAGGACGGCTAGCTGACAAATGATATATATCGAAATGAGAGATCAGAAAAGGAAAGAATCAGAAGGAAATCAGAAGGCAGTGGATCCCATTTGGAATGCAAAAAGAGCACTGGTGGATGGAACAACTGGACTTCCACATGCTGGTTGAGTATCGGCAGTGCGAAGTGGTGCACGAGTTAAACTGATGAGATGTTGGAATTCTTCTGGGAAACGAGTCGATGGATACATTGAGTCGAGGACCTGAATCCCCATTGTGTGGAACACATCGAATTCGTCAGTCTGAAAATAAGAGCCATTTTTCGAGTGCACAAAAAAAGTTTCCCTTTTCATTCAACAGACACCTAATCACCCTGGTGGATTAGCATTAAAACCGTGCAAATTTTGCCCTCAGTCTTATATTGGAAGGCTTCTCTTTTTCCTCAGAAACCCTCAAATGTCACAAAGACACTTATCATTGTCTGTGAAAGTAAGTTGTGTTCTGTTACTACGTCACCATCATCCCAAAAAATTTGATCTCGAGCTTCTTGCAAAGACGAGGAAAGATTACAATTGCTAATGACGTTTCCAGCACAAAGTTCAAAAGGTCTTCTCATTACTGAGTGCTTACTTACCAGTCTGACAATCTTGGCCAATTTGTTTTGAGATCCACTGCAATGATCCTTCAGGGCATTGATAATGGTGCTTTGCACTGTATCCACCAATACCTTGTTGGACAATCCCAACAGATTTTGCTCTGAAAATTAGAAATGAATACACTGAAACGGGCTGAACTAGTTACCTGTGTTTCCGGACAAGAATTGGAGAGCAATGAATGAAGCGAATGCTTGTGGCTCCCACTCGACCAACGAGGAAAAGTTCTGAGCTTTGTTGATCATGAAACGAAGGATCTGTTGGAAGCAGATTGGGAATGCATTCAGCATAAATAACTCTCCAGACTCGAACATGATGGATTCGGTGTTGTTGGCGCAACGATTTGCACAACGGATCGCCATGATTGGGAAGAATGATCTGGCGAGAAGGATGCGGAAGTCAGGCTCTGGGATCTCACAGATCTGAGGCATGGCCATAAGGAGTTTCCTGGTGGCGATGTATTCGCAATGGAGGATACTAACAGCAGAATCCTCACCGAATGGAGCCAACTGAAAAAAAAGAAATTATCACTTCAATCTAAAAGTCTTATATTTCTGAACATACAAAGTGTCTGGTGACAGTCATATTGGTATTATCCTCAATAGCCTTTCCCATCAATGCCAAAAGTGGGAGTGGTGGAGATGGTTGGTCCACAGATCTTGCCAACTTGGTCTTCGAAGACAAACGTCCTCTTCTGCCAGATAGAGAACCACCGCGGACGACTGAAAAAGTAAAAGTTGTTTAACCTTTTCCCTTTTTAAGTTTGCCCTTACTCTCTTTGACCATGCCGACTTCGAGGCATTTTTGGAAGCGACAGTATTGACAACGACTACGGTATCTCTTGTCAATTGGGCAGTTCTTATTGCCAGCGCATGTGTACTTGGAGTTCTTTTGAACGGTACGCTTGAAGAATCCCTTGCATCCCTCACAAGTTCTAGCTCCATAGTGCAAGCAAACAGCACGATCATTACAGACGGCACACATCTTGTCAGCATCCAAAACCTCATCCTGAATTCCGAACGGAGTTGGTGGAGTTTGCAAGTTATCGTGATTCAAGAAGGATCTGGAATACAAGAATATTGAGTAAATCCTTCCGGGTTCGAAAAATTTCAAACCTCAAGAAGCCGTGCAATTGCGGGGGTGACGTCGGAAGAGAGTTAGAGTGTGGTGATGGAGTCCCTCCGGTATTGTTGGAGGAGCTTGTATTGCCCTGACTGTTGCGACGAGCCTCCGCCGGAACTGGGAAGTGCTGTGGATAGAATGGCGAGGTGAACGGTGGCATCAATGCATTCGGTGCACCCATGAAGTCGTGGGTCAGTCTGTAAAGAAACAAAAGGCTCATCGGGCCAAACAAGAGAAGCAGCCTAATCTCATAGAGTGCAATTAATCCCCCCTATTGCTTCCAGATACTACGTAGAAAACACACAAGAAGTAATCCACACGTGGTGCTTATGAGTGTGGCGTGACACATTTACTAGACGAAGAAACTTCCTCTCCGGAAATGCACGGAACTTACGAGAATGGATAGTGAGGAGCTCCGAAGATCAGATCGTTTGGTGGCATTTGGAATGCTTGCATTGGGTCGAGTTCACTCTTGATATGAGCAATTGAGGCGTTCATCTCTGGATTTGGAGCAACTGATGGTTGGAGTTGTGATTGAGATGGTAGAGCGCGTTGGTTAGAAGAAGAAGGAGCGGATGAAGATGGCTAAAATATATGAAGGATGTGAATAAATAGAGAAAAAAGGAGGGAAGATGAGAAATTAAAAGGATCAAGTGAGATTTGAAATTAGAACGGAAAATACAAATATCTCACAAAGCCCTTGATAATTAAAAACCCGCCAGAATCCACCCCAGATCCCAATCTCTCACCTGCTCGAATTCCTCTGGGATCGTCTCGACTTTGACTTTAACTTCCGGCTTTGGAACAACGTTGGCCTGATCACTGGTGTCCTGTAAACTGGCAAATTCAGTATTGATAATGACTCCAGAGGCACGTAGTTGCTCTTCAAGAGCCGCTAGAGTTGACGGCTTCTCAAGTTTGCTAGCAGTCCGTTTGCTCATCATTTTGAAAACAGTAAGAGTGAGTAATGGGGGTCAAAGGAAGGAATAGGAATGGAATGGAAGGAATTCGGAAGATGAAGAGGTAAGTAAAGGGCTCCTCTTTTGAAATATGCAGCTGTTAAGCTTGCTCGCTGTAAGTTTTATAGGGGCGGAGCTTCGGAAAAGGGAGGGGACAGAAGCACGTTAGGCTGCTGGCAGCGACAAAAGAGCACACCGAAAAGAAGAGGAATTATTTCAAATCACGCCCCGGGAGACCACCTATATGTGAAGATGATGACGACACAGTTTGACAAGAGGGAAGCCAGAAAAGGGTACCTGACAAAGTGACATATCTTCTCTCTACAATTCCAGAATTGTCTTATTTCGAGAGGAGGGGGGCATCATCATCAAGAGCAAAATGTATAGAAGTTTGATGTTGGGAAGGAGAAGGGGGCGAAGAAATTTCGATGAAAATTGTAGGGTTGTTAACAGGAAAAAGACATGAAAGCGAGGGAGAACCAAATGACACGTTTATCTAACAATTAGACAGATTGTGGGTGTTTAGAAACACACCAGATTTACTCGAAAAGGTTGGAATTTACCAAAAGATATGCTCGCATTTTTCGAAAGATCTGGTGGAATTTAGGTTGCTCCCATAATTAAGAGTGGAGCCTAGGGAAATGAAATTCTAGTTAGAGAGAAAGAAATCAAAAATCTTAATCTCAATGTGAAACTAGGGAAAAAAGCCATAAGGTGAATAAAGTTAAAACCAAATACTCTAATAGAAGATCCTCTGAACTTTGAGCCAATCTATCTCGGTTCCTGTCAAGATATAAAAAAAATTTATCGACTGATAAATTGTTCATCATAATATCACAAACATTTTGGCATGTGACACATTTTTAACATCTCGCATAGGAATTGGGATGATTGAGCTTAAAGGTGAATCCTCTTCTATTACAGGTTGTACCGAAAAATTGCAGAGGGGAAATTCAAAACGTTCGATCTTTAATTTTCCTCTTCATCAATCTAAAAACATTCAAAAGCAAAACTAGAAACTTTGAGAAAGGTCCCGCTTACATCCGTTGATTCGGAAATGTCATGAGCAAACTATACGCTGTGCTCTAATAAGAAAATCCTTGGCCACAGTAAGCCCAAAAGAAAGAGCCCCAAAAAGAAGGTAAAAACGAGATCAAAAGGGAAGCAGAACAGTACTAATGACATTTTTGGGGTTGAGGAGAAGACGAAAGAAAGTGACTTGTTAACACATTGGTCCCACCTCTTTGCTACTGTTTCTATGACTAATAAAGGCAAATAGGGGTCGAAAGAAGAAAAAGAAAGTTGGTATGCTGTCAGGGGGTAAAGAGAGACTTGTGAGAGAAGTTTTTGAATTCGAAAATGAAACTTCTTGATGCTCTTTTTCTCTGTATCTCTCACCCTCTCTATCTGTTCAACTGGTCAATTATCAGGTAATAAGTGGGTAGTTAGTTAGGTGAGGGTGGATAAGAGTGCAAAAGAAGAAAGAGGGAAGGAGAATGAATTTGAAAACGGTCGAAAGTGAGACGGAATGTTTTGAAAAATGCACCTGTCCCCCTCCCCCTGTTCCCATTCTCACCTTTTTTGCCACCCTGGGACCTAGAAACAGGTGGCACCACAAAAAAAAGAGAAATCTATACCAATATTTTCCCACAGTCATTATTTTTAATTTCGAAAAAGAAATGCCCATTAAAAAAGCGTGTCGGTGGGAAAATGTGAAAGTGTTCTCTAAACCCTTGTATGGAGTGTGCTACTGTTTTCCATTTAAAACAGTCCTATGGGGAAATCTCGTCATTATTTAGCGCTCGAGAGAGATATGTTCTCAGGAAACTTACTGGAAAATAAAGTAATGATTGGCATGAACCAAGAGGGTTCAGCCCAAAAACAATTTTCAAGAGTTTTCAGAGTTGATGTCATATTTTTAGGAGAGAATATAAAAGATTCAGACTCACAACAAGGGATCGGAAGAGACTGTCAAGATCGGCATCAGTGACTTTGGATCCTTTGCGAGACGATGACGACGGCCCCAAATCTCCTGAACTATCATTTTCATTCCAGATACCGTAACCCATAAACTAACCATGATCGAATGAGGAGTTTGCCGAGGAGTTTTTGGACATCTCCCGGAAGAAATCTCTTCGGAGAGGTTCCTCGTTACGCACAAGGCGTGTGTAGATGTCGATCTGAATAGTTTTGAATAGTTTCAGTGTTACTGTAACTCTTATGAACTCACTTCGTCCTCCACACTGGAGCAGGATGAGTAACTGCTATCCACAGAAGCCGGTGAAGAACAGTATTTATACTGGAAAAGGGTAAAAATTTAAATATAAAGAAACACATGTCTAGACTGAAACTATTCTCTAAAAATCAGAAAAAAGGGGAAGAATTGTTGAGTGAAAAGTTAGAACACCTGTCCCGTACCTTATCTTGAAACTCTTGAAACTCGTCCGTTTGAATAGTAAGATGTTCCATTCAGTCGGACAGACCGTGCATATGAACGGTCAGATGAGAAAGCAAGAATTGGAAAGAAGAAGATGATGATGAGTTAGGTAGATGAATTGAGAAGATGGGTTAGTGTCAATCTGAAATATTCGAGAATTGAAATTTGGAGGGATTTTCAGATTGAGAAGAAAAGAGTTCAAAAGAATTTTTTCAATAGCATAGGAATATATATTGTTGTGTCAGGAGGCGGACCATATCCCCCCTCAATTTGTCGTCATCAGTAGCACGACAAAAATGTCTGTGCAGGTGGTTTGACACTGACAATCGGAAAGAGAGAGGAAGGGATCGAGCAGCAACACTAGAAAAAAGTCAAAATCAGCTTGTGTTCACAAACAATGAAACAATTCACCTGCTTATTTTTTGATTACCTACGTAATTTCGATGGAGGAGAAGCAGCAGATTTTTTTTGACGACGACGAAATTTCCAAATTTAGATATGGTCACTCTAAAAACAGAATCAGGAGGAAATTTTTGGAAAAATAATGGGATTGGTGAGCTCACAGCGAATTGTGAATTCTGACCAGATGACTACGTAGATGAGAGTTTACAGGTGGAAGAGAAGCTTTGCTACGTAGGCAATATTTTTAAGGTCATCGAAATGTCGAATGGTTCCGTCGTCACAGGTGGAAGGTCTTAGGATCTGTGAGCATAGGCAAAAAGAGAACGCAGAAATTATTTGAGGGGTTCTTATAGGAGTTTCTCCGGTATGATATCATTTTTCTCAACACATCATTCAATGATCTATAGATCAGAGAGAATTCCAAAAACTGACAGTTCTCAGGGGAGCACAAAAATTCAGATTAGAAAGGAAGCAAAAACAAAATAAAATGATGATGAAGAAAATTGATACCTGGTTTTGAGATTTCCTAATACCATGTTCGTACCGTTTGTTTGTTTTTTAGAAAGACTGAAAATCAATTTTTTGTATGTCTTGTAAGTACGCTCGGTTGCTAACACTTTAAGACCGTAGTAGATCTGCTGAGTCAAAAAAGCGTAGGGAAAAATTTATCCAGAGTTCCAGAAAAAACACCGTGTGAAAATCAAAGAAATACTGGAAAAATGGTTAGAATGAAACTTTCAGAGTGTGGTTTGGGAACAGTACAAAAGTGAGGAAATGTTTCGCAACTGATTATTCGAAAAAAATTTAGCATCATTAAATATTTTTCAAAAAAAAAATCAAAAATTAATCCAATTCGAATCGATAAAACAGTTCGTAAATGGCTCTCCACACCCCAACCTTTTCGTCATTTTCTAGTGTTTTTTCCACCCCCTTTCCGTTTTTTTGACTTCTAAACATCTATAAATGACGTGACTGTAATTGTAAAAGAAGAAAGAGAGCTGATAAAAATGATAACTGATAAGTTTCCGAATCAAGGAAACAGCTACGCGACCTAAGGTGCACTCCCCGGAAACCGTTTTCCCGTAGTCTGATAGACAATCTACGAATTATATTTAAAAATCATCAATAATCAAGAGGTCAAAGGTCTCGCCAAAAAATGAGTAATTGTTTCTAGCTCAAAAATAAGTCAATGAGTAATTTTATACAGTTACATTGATGACGTAAAACCATTCTTTCGCCCTCCTATCACTCGAGCCCACACACTTTTTTTCTGACGACAATCAGTTTATCAGTGAAACTGAAGTATGTCTCGATTTTTCATAAATGATTCTATGAAGGTTGGTCTCTCTGATCAGAAAAAAGAGACGAATTGTCAGCAATGTTCTGTAGCATGAACTTAAGTAGTCTTTTTTTAAAGACGAATGAGTAATTTATGATTGGGTCAGAATGTACAGGGTGGCCGATAATGATAGGACGTTTTTTTTGGGCCCCTCTAATTGATGTGGCTCCCTAGAGACCCCTTCTCCGCGATCCCACGAAAAAATAAGAGACAGCCCTTTCTAATACAGGTCTTACGGTATTCTGTAATCGAAAAACTGGGAAGCTACAGTAATCCTTAAAAAATCTCTGAGCTAGAAAACATGGAATCCTAGTAATTGCAGTTTCGTGCCGATGGTTTACTAATTTTCAAATTTATACCACACCAGCAGAGACTAGACTACGAAAAAATAGGGATTTTTTTGTGCTTGTAGACGGAAGAACTTCAGGAGAGGAATTTAAAAAAAAATGATAGAGAGATTAGGTTAAGATTTTTTGGATATTAGTAGAAAATGGAAATGAAAATGAATAAAACAAAATGCAACATTTTCTTTTGTGCTTCAAACTTATATAATTTATAGACAGGAAGAATTACGTTTACTGTAAAAGAACAAGTGGAAGTTTTTTGAACGAACTTCCTGTGAGATAAGGCATTCGAAAAAAGCGGCCGGAAGAAGTTGAATTTCCGAAAATGAACAATCATTTTGGAAAAAACCGCAAATAAATAGTTGACAGCCTCTGATAAGGAGTTAGCTCCGCCTGTTACTGATAACCTCCCTACAAAACTTATGAATCATGAAGTTAGTGACCAGGGGTGTGGTACAATGACACATTTTGCAAAGGAAGGGTAAGGACCAGATCATTGAGTCATGTCTTCCCCCAAAAATTCTAAAGTAATTAAGTTCTTTTTGATGGATGAGAATGTGCACACTAGAAACAAAAACCCTATTAAATTTGGGGTGGTTTTGTGATGTTTCCTGTTGAAAACGGGACGGACGGGGAACGGACGAAATGGGCTTGAGACTTTTCGGCTTCTCTCCTTTTATATGTGAACAAATCTGTCCTTTTGACTGCTGCACACAGGTCACAGGTCTTTTTTTGACGTCTTTAAGATTAATGAGCTAATCAGGAATATCCGTTTTTTCAGTTGCGTCGTTCCGTCGTCGGAATTGTCGTCGATGCAACAATTTGGATAATCCCTTTTGTTGTCCTGCTTCATCGAAAATTATCAGTCTCTCTAAATTGATAGAGAAAGGACAGCAGGAAGAAGAAAAGGATTAGATGGGATTTAAGGGAAAACCAGAAACATTACGCACTTCTTCAGGATTTTTGGGTTTAAGCTTTTTGATGTCCATGAACATTTTATTGGATTGGTCTCATCCCCATCAGGTGTGTCATCAATGATATTAAAACTTTTGAACAAGAGATATTACTTACTGTATTGATGATCATTGAGTGAGGTAAATGATGTTACCGTAAAACCTGTAACAGAAAGGCCCCCACATTGTCAAGTTTTAATTAATTTTTCTCGGTTTCTGTCAAAGATAAAAAAATGTGCGAATTGATGAACTGTTATTATGTTATGATATTATGATAAACAATTTATCCGTTGACAACTTTTTTATCTTTGACAGGAACCAAGATAAATTGGCTCGAAGTTTAATCTTGAGAGGACCTTCTATTACAGGTTTTACTGTAATCTTCCTCATATATAAACGCTACACGCATCTGTTTGTCCCCTGTCAGTTTGTCGACTTTTGAAAAACTTGAGAAATAAATATAGATTTACGGGATCCTAACAGAAAAAAGCTAGGAGTGGACCGACTAACCAGTAAAGAACTAGATTAAATCGCGCCGAAGGCGCACCAGCTAGCTTGTTGTAAGTATTTTGAAAAACTAGAAGTGTCAGATAATTTAGGTTTTTTCCTAGTCAAACATCCCGAATGTTTTTTTTTCATACTTATGGAAAAGATGGCCGGCCCGCTTTCTGAAAATTTTGAAATTTTAGAGCGAATCATCATTTTTCAAGATGGTTTTTCTTCTTAGTGAATGAAAATCCACACTAGAGGCCGATACTGTCGACAAAAACTGTTTTGAAGTCGAACATCTGAAATCCCTTGACTATTTTCCGTTCAAGACCCCACTTTTAAAAGAAATTCAAATATTCGGATGTACTTTTTCCTTATTGATGACGATCTACTGGGACTAAAAAGCCACCGATTGCGCTTTTCCGTTGTTTCTTAATCCGCCCAAATTAGGCGAGGCATCTTCATCGAGTTGATGTGCAAATTTCGTGCCGAAAAGCATAAAAAAGGTGGATACTACGTGAACATTCTACAACTTCCGGACGCGATGAGTTTCGAGAAGAAGCATAAGATCAGGAATACTTTTTAGGCTACATCGTGTCTAGAATCTTCTTTCCAAGTGCAAGCATTTTCAAATTTCAGACACTAATTGCAGTATGTATCTTTGAAAAAATTGCTGAAAAATGCTCAAGAAGAAGAGAAAAGTGAGAAAACGAGAAAGAATCAAGCACTTTGAGAAAGTGTTCATACAGATAAGAAGCTTACATAAGAGCTATCGTAATCTTTTTCAGATGTTCACAATATTCTTAATGAGCGTCTGAATGACGGACGGACGGATTGGATAGTTTCAGATTATATAGTCGGAGGAGATGATGTTTGAAGACGATTTCTTTGGAAGACAGTGTGTGGGCCCTTCAGGTTTTAGGTTTTACAGTAAGTCTAGAAATGAAGCGTACAGAAAAAAGGATATAAAAATTTTGGTTACAAGACTGATGAACAGTAACTGAGCAACCAACTCATCATCTCATCATGAATTCTGATTATATACGCTAATTCTAGACGGTACCTAGGAGAATACGAGAATGCCGAAATGATGCCATTTTCAGGTCACGAAAACATCTTGATTCATAAAACATACCAGGTCAAAGAAACTGTATTCAATAGGGAATACCTGGTCAAGATCTGGTGAGACGAGTCATCTGAAACTCTCTTTCGAAGCGTCGCTCTTAAATATTTCTGAAATCATCGTAACCTTCAAAATTCGTAAATGCTCTAGTCTAGGTGGGGGTGGAGAGTTGAAATCACTTGTTTTTTGTGTTTTATCTTTGAAACTTCTCTTTAAAACTATTGAAGTGAGGGTGGTAATGATAGGGTTTACAAGTTCACATCACATCAGTTTTTCAAAATGAATGAAAAGCATAAAAAATCTTTGTCAGAGTGACCAACTGTTTTTAATCACACCCTTGGCTCTAAACCCTCAATTTAAGTGAGGATGGATGGACGGAGCC